TGTATACAGGATGTCCCACATAAGAAAAAAAAATTAGTTCATTAAAAATTATTCAAACAAGAGTAAACAATTAATTTCTGGGAGACTTTTTTTCCTTAAAAATTCAAATAAATCGAAAACTAATAATAATAGTAATAGGGAACCTTTAGTTAACTGACATTATTTATGATGTAGTTTTTAATTCTAAAATAAAAAACAGGGTGTTCCATTAAAAATAATATAACTTTGTATATTTTCTCTTATGTGGGAAATCCTGTATACATCTAACAAATTTTAAATTGTAGCCGTCTGTAACTTACGTATTCCTCCCTAACGAATTTTTTATATCTTTGGTCGTTTTCCCATAAAGCTCCGTCCCGTTGAGCGTGAGCCACCCTGTATAGTACAAAACTAAACTAGAATATCACAGTATTCATGTTTTTTTTTAATTTCCTTAAAAAACGTCCCAAAAAAATGTGAATATTTATTATTGGAGTTTACATCGTTATGCTAAAACAATACTAGAACAACCTAAATAATGTGGATTTTGACTATTTTGAGTTATGCAGATCATTATGATCTAAAAAAAATGTTTGTCTGGTGCTATAGTCAGGTATAAAAACATTCATTTATTTAAACACAGTTGCAATATACATTTTATTTAGTTTTTAAGTTGAAACCTATTAGGACTTTTTTCGTTTGATGTGAGATTAATTATTCTACATTTTTGTTGGTGAAATAGGATATATTAAGATGTCTTACTGTTTTCTCTGATTATCTAAAAAGTTAGAACAATATACAAAGACTGTTATAACAAAAAAGAGATATACCTTTACTTAAACACACAATTAGTTAGTTCAATTGTACGATAATTTAAAGCAGAAATCCAGAAAATGTGTTTAAATGTGTTTTTACTATAACAAGGACATAATTATTAAAAAAACTTGGCACATTAACATTGACGATAGGTTTTTATAATATATATTATACAAATCACAACGAACTACACAAAATGACATTATTAATAATTTAGCAATAAAAAAGTTAAGTACAATGATTACATTAAAAGTTGAGTTTCTCGAATTACTTTTTTAAATTGTCTCAGTACCTACCTAGTATTTTTTTAGCACAATGATATTATATGAATGTGCATTGTGTGATATCTTATATTTTAGAAATAAAATTATATATTTTTTGCAGGTTTCTGTTAACAACGATTCCAAGAACTTTTGAAAATATTATTAAAACGGCCTTTGTAAATATAATTCTCAATTAAGAGCATTTTGATCTAACATTAAATTTTTATTCTCCATAAGGTTACAGCTTCCTAAGAAGAAAGTTTAACAAGACTTACCAGATCCAAAATATCAAAATTTTACTAACCAATTGATGGTTCTACTGGTTTCCATAGGAAAATTCTCTTCGAAACTACTAAAAGAAAAGTGGCAGAGGCAACCGAAGAAGGCAAAAAGTCTTTTGCAAAACAAAAACTAGAAATTTGTTTAAGAATCTAATTATTATTTGAATTTTTACCATTAATAATTTTTGATAACGGTTTAAGATTATGAAGTTGTATTATGTATTTTACTCTTTTACCTATGTTTAAATTTTTATTAGGACCAAAATAAATTATAATTTTCATTTCAACTACAAAAACCCTCATAATATTAAAAACGGGAAAAACGTTAGATTAGTTATGTTCAGAAATAAACTCTTTAAACATTTATCTACTTAAAATGTGTTACTTTTAGAAGGTATGTTAATAACTTTCTATTTGTACTTGTATTAATTTATTTCATTTTATTATCTGTTGTATTTTCAAATTGATTTTGATATTCACATATATGTTTTTTTCATTGAAACAAACGTTTATTAGCTTATAAAATATAATGAATTCATGTTGTTTTATTATATGCTTGTATGAATGATTATTTTTATTTTCTTTTAAAAATTAATTTCGAAGATAAAGCCGAAACGGTGGGTGAGAACAAAAAATTAGACGAAAGTGACGATATTTACTGAAGCTTTAATCTACACTCTCCTTTTTCTAGCCATCTACACCTGAGCCAGCAAGATTCGTCTTCCCTCCATCCTTATATACTTCAGATTTATAGAGAAAACGTCGTCCTCTTTAACATATCCAGACCTTTTTTGTCGGGGACTACTTTACATTATCACAGCTTTATTTCTTATTCCGAACAATTTAAATGTATTTGTAATTGCTCATTCTCACCTCTTCTCTTGTAGATTCTGTACTCAGTTTTCCTATTTTTAGTTACGTTTGCACTGCTCTTTTATTTTTACAGCTTTAATTCTATAATGCTGTAACGCTACAATATGGATCCATTTTTGTAGTTTATACTATTTAATATTATTCGTAAGTGACCAAACCTATCATAATAATTAAAGATAATTGGATTACAGGCCTGAAGATGTTCCTGTAAGGCCGAAAATAGTCGCTCCTGTATTTATTTATAATAAAATTGATTTTAAGGTTTTATTCTTCAATTGAAAAAATTAGACCTTTACAGTGATTTTGTTTCATTTCCTGCATTAGACACATAAGACGGTATTCATTTTAAAAATAGTAAAATTAGCAAATTTTTTAGTTTTTTTTTTACAAATAAAACGTAGACAATGTGTGTTTTTATAGATAAATGATACGCCACTGAACAAGAAGGATGTTTACCTTCCCCCTTGTACCCGCTTCCTCACTTCGTCTACAGATGTTGCTAACACAACAATCGCCTACAAACTCGTTTTCACGATCCCTCTATTAGTAATTGCTCGGAGATCCAAAGTAGGTTTTTGCGCTTCAAACTTCAATCGCAAAGTTGACGTTTTTCGCGACCTGACATTAAGTGACAGCTTTGTCGCACGCCGAGCGGAATACTTGACAGCTTTGTTGCTCGCCTAATTTAAATTAGATAAAATATAATATTTCTATTCAATAAATTATTTTTAAATTCTTTATACGGAGTTTGATGTTTTTTGTTTTTTTATCTAAGTTAACATTGACTTTGAATATCAACTCCGTTTGTCATGATTAACGTAGATATGGGCAACACATTATAAACTACTTATGAAAGATTTTTAGTTTATATATCTATTTCTTAAAATAATGTGATCGTAGAATAAATCTTATGTACATTTTGAGCGAAAAGTTCGTTGCCGCTACGAGTCGCGCGGCTAACTTTCTGTCTTAAGCGGCAAATTATTACTGTTCCCTCTTAATACAGAAAAAGCTATTATGCAACAAAGGTGGAAATAATGGCCATATTGTACGAAGACCAAATTTTAGCCCGACGGCGTAGGCGGAGTGCTCAATCGTCAGAGTGTGATACGACATACTGACGAAAATCTACAAATTTTTAAAAATAATTTCGGCAATTAATATAAACCACCTAATTTAAAAATAATTTTTGTTTTTTACTAGTTTTTAAAATAAAATAAACTTTAAAAAATTATATTCAAATTGTTCAATCAGATTTGAGACCCAGACCTAACGCATAACAAACTTTATATTTGTAATACTCAAAATTAAATTTATTTTATATAATTTTATTAAAATGTATTATTTTTTTTTGTAAATAAGGGAATTATCTTTTGAACTGCTATTATTTCTCGATTCTTTACAAGAATAACTGTAAAATATACTGACAATTATTTTGAGAAAATCGTCACTTATTTAAAATTTACCAAAATAATGGTTGTCTGGTACCAGATATGAACTGTGATTGGTGGGTTTCATACTCGTTCAGTATTTTAACTAGGTAAAAAGTATATAAAATATATTCGTTCAGTTGAATCCAATGGCCAACTTTTTCGTTTTGTAGTATATGCATAGAATAGCTAATATCCATGTGGGTGTAATAAAAATATTTCAGAGTAAATTCCTCTTATAATATTATTGAGTTTCGGGATACACACATTTTTCAAACTCAATTTTATATTTTATTTTCTTTATTCTTTATTTTAATAGGTATATTTTAAATATTGCATAATTTAGACATTTTTATATATTTTAAAATACTACCTACATAGTATATACTTTGACAACCAAAACTTTTGTATAAACTTGGGCATAAAAAATTATTTTTAATATTATCAATATAAATAATTGTAGTTATATTAAACAGTATTTCATTCTATCTCGACTTATTTTTTGATGTTTTTTGAAGTTTTATTTTGGATTAACCTTTTACTACTGGATATATTTTTTGCTATTGTAAAATAGTAGTTCATAATCCATATTTACAACAAATTTAAATAAAAACATTTTCAATTAAATAAGAGAAAAACTAAATAAAGTATAATTAATTCGATTTGACATAAGCACACTACCATGACAGCAATTGTTCAATTGTTATCAAGAATATACCTACCTAGTTATTCTTATGGATCACAGCCATCTCAGTTATAAGAAAAATTGAAAATAATATCATTTTGGATTTAATTTTCTATATTTTTTTTAATATATATAAGCACATTTAAATAAAAAATAATGCATGAAACACAAATGAAAAGTGTATTTTCGGACTCCTACGAGTTGCCTGGCTCGGCTATGTCTCGTTTGGTAAACTTCTCGTAAAAAGATAACTTTTTCTACTTATAACATAGAGGGTTATGATTGACAACCTGTGTTATTTTTAACAGGTCTGTTATTTTATAAACACACAGAAATAACAACCTGTTCACAAATAACGTGTCTGTTAAAAATAACATTACTTGTCAATCATAACCCCGTTAAGAGGGTTATGATTGACAACCTGTGTTATTTTTAACAGGTCTGTTATTTTATAAACACACAGAAATAATAACCTGTTCACAAATAACGTGTCTGTTAAAAATAACATTATTTGTCAATCATAACCCAGATAAACTACTATTAATATGTTTAAATTTTAGATGAATTTTATTCTTGAATACAAAAAAGTAACAAAAACAAATTAGAGTGAACATAAAATTTGATTAAAAACTTACATTAAAAACTATAATATACTTAATATTTTTATACTTACCAAGACTTTCATGTTGGCAAGGTAACTGCACTTAATTTTATAAATTTTTTTATTGGAACTGTGTTTTTATATGCAATTAATACCTGATTAAAATGTGTTTTTTTGGATGCAGATTTTAAGATTTTGATTAGATTGCAGAGGAAAAATTAAACAAAAATAAATGAATAATCGCTTTTAGATATCCTTTATCGATAAAATTTTCGCTGTTTTTGGAGATTGTTACCTCAAATAATTAAACATACCGGGTGTCCAGGAGTATCAAAATAATTTTCTTTTTCCAGAAAAAACATATCGCCGCCCTGTTGGTGTAACCTATCAAATGTCCTACAAGTTTCGGTTGTTTCTGTGTCATCCTTCGGGCCTTCCACATCGCTCAGACGGCAGCTAGGGGGTGGATAGCTATAAAAACTCCAGAAATAGTAAACAAATGAAGGGCTATATAGTGGCATGTTTCTATTTCCCCACAAACCCAGTATTGAGAAAAGAAATAAAAGACGAGCCTCAACTTATGTTTATAATAAATTTACCAAATTTTCCAATTATGATTAACAATTTAAAAAAAATTATATTTAAGAAACTAACAAATCTGGTTTTTTAAAAAAAAACAACAAACTCAAAAGTTACAGTTCAAGAACTAAAAAAATACAATTTTTAAATTGTTCAACAAATTTACCTTATGGCTTTTGATGAATTCATAAATAAACTAACATAGCTAAATACGGTAAGAATTTAAAGTAATGTATATGTCATATATGTAATAGCATAAATCCAAAAAAAAATTCGAGAGACGCTAATATGGTGGTTCCCACCTTATCAGGCCCACAAGGGTAATCTCTTAGCGTAAAGCCGATAGTAGTATTAGGACGTTGAATTGTTTTGTTTGTGAAGCATTGGCATTACTTAGGTTAAACCATGTGATGATTTTCACGAGCCTTGATTTTTAAAACCATTCTAAATCGCCTTTTGATTGGGGTTTGCAAACTTGTTCGAGCAATTTATCCAATAATAATTGGCCCCTTTACCTCTTAAGCCTGCTCATGTAAAATATTTAAGCTCCTTACTTGGCCAATTTATATAATATTAATAAAGGACAGAAGGATGAGTATTGCAACTATGTTAAAAGAAATAAATTGGGTTTCAGTTTAGAATTATGTTCAGTACATGACTAATATTTATTTATAAAATAAAAATAAAATAGTACCATCGCATCAGATCTATTAGAAAAAATTCAATATAATTCGCAATATCACAACTATAATACAAGAAGCCAATCTGACTTTCATCTACAGCAAGCCATCACTAAAAGTTCCCAAAATACAATTTTTATTAAAGTTTTACAAAAATGTAATAGACTGCCTACAAAAATTAAAAATCTGATGTGTCCAACACATGACTTTCCTATCTAGTTATTAAAGACTTTTTCCGGTTATTTTGTACAACCTATTGCAGTACCTCTATAAATGTTTAGAGGATAAACTAAATATATACATTTTCCACATACATCTACCTCGAAACATTTTTCTATAGATATTCATTGAAAACGAAAATACTGAAAAATTTAAATTTAGCACTTTTCCTACAATTTTTCCATTGCGGTCCATTGCAGAAAAATCATGTATAAACAAAAATTATAGAGATCGATATCGCTAACAACTTTTAAATCAGAATTTTGCATATTTTGTCAAATTTCTCGAATACGGACCATTTCAGGAAATTTTGACATAGAGCAAAAAATTATAGATAATAATATTAGAAGTAACTTTTAGTTGAACAATTTTCTTCTCCAAATATAAATAACAGATATATTCCATAAAATATAAAAACGGCCTCCCATAAAGTATCCCCCCCCCAGATGTTCCGACTTTGTCCAAAATCTAATCATTTCAGGCCGAAATAATACTTAAGTTTAAAATTTAATGTTTTTTTCTTTATACTACCTACTATGTTTAAATTAATATTTCTATATATATTTGACTACCATTAAAAATTCGCGTTTATCGAACTGGACTTCAGCAATATTTTAGTAATCTAACATTAGAAGAAATACCCTAAGAACTAAATATAAATGAAACTTCATATTACTTTAAGTTTTTAATAGAATTTGTACCTCCATTAATAGGTACAATTGGACATTTTGTCACGTACCTACTAAGGAAGGCTTTTGCGTCATTGATGATCTTTCGTACACCGAAAAAATCACGAAACCAAATCATAAAATAAAACATCCTAACGTTATTGTATACTCAAAAATCGGAACATACAACGGCCTTAAAGATTATGAAATTATTCAAACTGGCAAACAACAGATCTTATTCCCAAAATCCAACAAACTGAACCGAAAACATACAAAATAGAGTAACTCAAACGTCAGAAGAAAGAACATTCTGTTTTAATGAAAGATATGAAACATTTACCTTGATTAACCCTTCTCCTGACCTATATTATTGACTTGTGTAATTATTTTTAAATTACATACACATTACATATGTTAAAAACTGTTAAAAATAAATATCAAAAGAAGGATACAAACATTTTTTAATAATTTGACATTTAAGAACAATTCACATATCACAGTTCAGTTGACAACTTGATACTTGACATTTGACATTGACAGGCACAGCCATGCGAAATAAAATAACCGGTTAATTATTCTATTGAGTTGCGACTTTGCGACAGAGAGCCGGTGTCACTGTGGCTAGGAGCGAAATAGTAGTAAGCATAAGTTAGCAACACCATAAAAAATCATTTTTAAGAAACTGCTTGTATATTTTTCATAAATTGGCAGGCTTATCGATTACTATTTCGGATAAAAATAGCCTATGATTATTTTAGGAATCTTAGGAATTTAGACGTGGAATGCTCGGAATGTATAAATTAGTGGCATAATAATTACACAGGCGAATTTAAGAACGTTGATATTAAAGTAGTTAGGATGAACCAAAATTTCTAAAAATCAATAGGGTTCTAAGTTAGAAGCAATTATTTAAGAAAATCAAAACCGCAAGTTAATCAGAACTTTCGTTCTCAAGTAATCGTGTCGGCATACATACATACAGATGACCAGACGAAAAATTTTTGTTGCATTTTCGTCTGCACGAATGCAATACTGAGGCCCCATGCAATTATAAATACAACAGATGACAAGGTCGGTGGTTTGAGTGGTACCAGGCGAAGGATATTTGCGCAAGATGTTATGCGGATATAGTAAAATTTTAGAGGCGTTATATTATGGGTTGCCATAGCAATTAGAAGCAGATCCATGTAGTATTTTTAGACAAAAACATGAACGTTCAGTCTTCCATTAATAATGCGTCACAACCTGTTGCGTTACCATACCTTTAGCAACTGCAAAACCCCATATTTCAGCAAAACAACGCCAGACCACATACTGTTGCAGTTACCAGAGACTAGCTTCGACAAGCTTATGTAACCACTTTTCCATGGCCCGCAAGATCACCTGACTTATCGCCCATTGAACATGTATAGGTAGAAAGCTGGATCGATTGCAAGCTCTTATATTGGATGTATACCGACTACGTTACGAGATTAGATTAGCCTGGGAAAACATCGATCATCTGATTTACCGTATACCACGAAGAGCTGCAAAGTGTCAAAACTTACGTGGAGATGCAACTCACTATTGATTTTTTAATAAATTTGTTTCATAATTTCATTAATTAATATTTCTATTTTCCTGCATTTATTTTAAAAGATTGCGCCTCAGTACTGGCTCATCCTCTAACAATCCTGATCAATATCTGCATGCGTTTCAGCCATTGTATATTTCTTTCTTTAAACCGATATAATACTTTGAAATCACGAAGAATCGTAGATATGCGGAGCTTGCAGTGTCTAACATCCCTCACATCCAGTGACGGATTGCCCGTAAGGGCACTTGAGCACGTGCTCTAGTATAATATACAAAAAAAAATAACTTACATATTTTATATTTTCCTCAATGCCTATTATTATTTTATCTAATATTCAGCGCAAACCGCGTTGGCACGACACTGGACGACCGGGCGTTGAGCGACGTTTAGAGAATTCCGAAATTAAGTGGGCACAGGGCACAGTAAATATGTGCCTCTGTTGTTTTCTCTCTCATTATGATGCGAAAAACAAGGACAACGACAATATCGCTTAGGAAGAGATGAACACATGCGATGGATTATACGTCACAAGCGGGGCGCTGTCCTTATCGTGACGTGCTGTACCCATCGCATAGATTACCGGCTCCCTCACAAAGGCGAAGCCGGTTTCAGCTTAAGGTGCGCGTTTGTTGAACCATGATAATAATTTATTTATTGTGATTACGAAAAAACGTTTGTTGGACCATTGGAATAGTTAAGAAATAAAACTACAAAGAAAAATAACTTTCTTTATATAAAGCAGTCAAAAATATGATGAAAAAAAATCAATAATATTTATAAATGGGACAAAATTTTTCTACTGGTTTCGTCTGACTTTTTCGATGATTTTAAATCTCTGTTTGCATATTTAAGAGTATAAAAAATTCTGAGTCTTATAAATAATTTAATAGTGTACATTTTCGCAAATTGTTGGCATGGATGACCAAATTCTATTTTGCTCATCTCAAAAAGGTATGCGTTGGAAATTCCAGGCTTAGTTGACAAACTATCAAATAGAGATATAAATATTTTTTCTAATTTGAAAATATAAAAGAGAAATTTTTCGCTGGGAGATTTTAAATTGCCAAACACCTTTGCTTTAGAGTCGCATGCTTTAAAATGCTCCTACACGATAGAATTTTACATAGTGTGTCAATACTCTTTATGTTTACAAAGATGATTTGATTAAATGTCTCGAAGAAGTTATGAACACAGAATTCGATAAAAGAAACTATTAATCAGACTAAAGGGTTGATAAATTTTGAAAGGCAGATTTAGTTTCTGGTTATTTTTCTTCAGCAAAATAATGCCGAATTGCAATATACTTTTTGATCAACTGCAGAGTAGACGGCTCGATGCTCTCAAGGTTAAGATAAACATATCAAATTTTGCAGCAGCTATTCAAAATATTAGAAATAATTTAGACCCGCTAATTCATGAAAAATGGCAATCACAACAAGACCCACAAGAACTAAACTTAAACGACAACACCCAATCAGGTCCAAGTACAGCAAGAAGAGACTGTTTGTTGAAAAGGAGGACATTATATTCCTAATTTAAGGATATGTAAGGAAATTTGTGATACAATAGTAGTGCAGGTAAATGAACGTTTTAGTTTTACTACCCACCTAACAATGGCAAGGCTTTATTTGATAGTGAAAAATTTAAAGACTACCGAGGTTGTTTTCCAAATGAGGACGTTAAAACTGTGTGTAGTTTATTTCCAAACGTAAACAGCTTAAAATTCAAAAACGAACTGTCCATACTTTACACTCGAGTTGACTTTGTGGAAAACAAGGGGGCCATACCGTTATTAAAAATGTTTTTTGAGAACAATTTGACAACTACATTTTCGGAATCTGTGGAGCTGCTAACTATCCTGTGTACAATTCCCATGACCACAGTGAAGAGTAAAAGATGTTTTTCGACACTAAAACGTATTAGAACATTTTTTAGAAACACTATGTGCCAAGATAGATTGTGTGCGTTAGCCATATTTTCCATCGAAAAAAAACTTATTCGGTCCAATCCAAATTTTAATAATCTGGTCATTGATTACTTCGCTAGCCAAAAATCCAGAAGAACGGACTTCAACTATAAGAAATAGTATATTCCAGTGTATGCCCCACTGCCGCTAGTGCCCACGAGCCGTCACTGCTCACATCCACAATAATATCGCGGTGAAACTCGGATAAAACAACCTTTTACTACAGTCTGCTACTGAACAACCTCAGTTTTTCTGAAAGATAGGCTTTTCTCTAATGTAAATTTTCATGCCCATTTACTTTTCTGTGAGTATAAGGATATGCTTCTACTCTACAAGTATAAGGTTCTACTTGAAATTAATATGAATAAATGCAAAACGATTTTCTTCATATTTAGTAAGTATAAGCATATCCTTTTTGTATGCACTCTTAATTCAAAATACCTATAAGGTCCATTGTAAAATAAATCACAAAAATAAATTAATGCTCATCTTAAGCAAAAAATAAGCAATTTCGGGCTTGTTTTTGAGCCAAGTATGCCACAATCAATATTTAAGAAATTTTTAAGTACGCATGCTCAAAAATCGTTAATTTTTTTTTTAAATTAACAACGGCTGGAACCGTTATTCCGACATAACCATCTCATAAATGTAATTTGTCCACTTCTTCCTTTATTCGCCTTGTGAGAATTATTTTTGACTTGGATGTCAACGAATCAAGTTGATTTGAATTTTAATATATCTTGGTCATCTGATCTACTAAATAATTTTTATCTATCGTATAATCCTTCTAATTTTATAAGGTAAGTTTTAATACTGATATATTGTTAAAAATATATATTTTGTACAAGAATTTCGTAAATAAAATGTCAAATTTTGAACATAATCTCAACAATGGGTAACACATGTTGGTTTTATGTAAAATTATATATTATTTTGTTTGGAATAAGATATTATGCTTTACTATGTTTAAATATGTTAAATAAGATTTTTCCTTTTCGTATTAATTTTACTCTGTGAAATTATTTATTTAATAGTTTTAAATTGTTCATTTAATAGTTAAAAGCATTTTATCTAAATCCTGTTCAAATTTCCTATTTCCTGTCATAAAATTTTCCTTTTTTTAGCATGGCTATATCTAGACGATTTATTTGGATTTATATCTAGACGGTTTATGTGGATTTATATCTAGACGTTTTGAATTCCTAGCAAAGAAGTTTTGAATTCTTATCAAGAAGTTTTATGGTTTTTATACCTAGAAGTTTGTTTTGGTTTGGGTACAGACTGAAGACCGTGGGTTGATTCATCCCTGAAGATCTAGAGAGTATCTAGTTTAAGTTAGAATACCAAAACGATATAATTCAAGTTACAGAATTACGAATAAGGATACCGAATCCCTTTAAAGAAGTTGCCTGAAGATATACCATGCAATGAACATTCCTTATATTACCTTCTTTTAACTAAAGATAAGTGCTTTTAAATAAATCATCTTAAATTTGAAAACTATGTGGATTAGAATTTGCTACTACCTTATCTAAAGCGTGGTTTAAATATAATTTGTTAGTGGTTAGTGATTTTCTATATTTTTATCAATAATCGAAAGTCAAGTATAGTAAGTTTTAAATATAGTGGTGCCCAACTTCTTTTTCAAAGTTATTCGAGTTATTTAATAACCTAACCCACGCCCACTCAATTGAGCTTAATCATATTATAACAAATAGATAATATATCAAGTATCACGTTACAATTAACAACGTTGGGGCTTATTTATAATAATAATAATAATAATAACGTTCATTCAAAGAAATATTACAACAACAATTTAAAACAATTTTACAAATACTATTTGGCTCATACAATAGATATAAAATACACTTTATGAACAAACGTGAAAAAGTATCCCTAAAAACTCCTTGTAGGTGTCTTGAAAGGGATTAAGTATTTCATGTATATCCATAGTAATAGAATCGCTAAAGTAGAAAAAACTTGAAAGTAGATCCATATGAAACTATGGTATACATGAATTAATTATGAAAAGCTATTTTTTTTTTTAATTTGTTCATTACTAGTAGTAGGTGTTAATATCGATATGCTGTTAAAATAGAAGCCTAGGTTGCGTAAGCATTCAATGTTTTACTTTTTGTTTAAATAGTTTAACAGAATTATTTTTTTTAATTTCAGGAGGAATATGGTTATACAATTTGGGGCCGAGAAATGCTATACTTCGTTGCAATGTGTTTTTTCTTGCTCTTGGAACTATATAGTATTGATTTTGTCTAAGTATGAGACGGCTTTAATAAATTTTCTTTATGTTTATTTTGATAAATAGCTGTATATAAAAAATATATTTGCCCAACGTCAAGAAAACCACTATCTTGATATAAAATATTAGAGGAAAATTGTTTATTATAAATATTTTTATTATATGTTTCTTGACGACTTTTACTATTTTTCAAAATTTTAGATTGGTAGTATTTTTGTTTGGTAGTTTTTATTAGCTATTTAAATAGTTTCTATATCTTTTGTAAATATTTTTATTGTCCTCTGTGGGATATTTCCTCATTTCTATATATAGGTTTTTTTTTGATTTATTGAATTTACCAACCCGTTACTTATCCATGTTTTATTTTTTTTATTGGAAATTTTAACAGAAAATGTTTTTTATCGATTTATATCGTTTATTTTGATTACAAAATGTTTCATTGCCTTATTAATATTAGCACTATTATATACTTTCAACCAAAATTCCTGCATTATTTCATCATAGAATTTTTTCGTAGAGATGATCTATACAAGATTTTGAATCTTAAAAAATTCTATTATATTTATTTACAGTCATTTTGTAATCATATTCACTCATTATATTTAAATAATCATCAACATAACCTTCATCTTTCAATATATCAATATTATATATAGCTTTTGATTCTAAAATTCAATACGGCAATGTTAATTTAAAAATACCAGGATTCAAATAAAGAATATTTTACTTTAAATAAGAATTAAAGTCATGCTGAATTTAAAATATACATTCTTGGTTACATACTTATTTCTATCTGTGATCTTGTTAATCATTAATTTCAACATGTTAACAACTCAGTTTAATGTAGGCAAATTATTTTTTGTTAATAATCTTCGTGGTCCTTAATCGATCAAATCAGAATCTATTGAAAGCTTTTAAAAATTAATATTGATAAGCACCTAAACTAATTTAAACAATATCTAAACACATCTTTAAAAAACTAGAAACGTGTAGTGGATACTAATGAATTCAATGTCTAAGTGAGTTATCTAAATGCTAAAAAATGTAACTATTACTTACAAGCAGTTTATGAGCCTCTCAAGATTAAATTACATTGATAATATTTTTTTAACGAATAAGTATACTTCAAAAAATTCGTATATATAAGACAAAACGTGAAATAACTTTGTCAGATGATACAAAATGTTCAGTGCTAAAGTTGTTATCATCCTCGCTGCTGTAGCAACTTGCTATGGTAAGTAATTATTTCTTGTTTTCTAATATTTTATGCGACTTTCACAAACTTTAATTATTTTTGTTCCACACGGTCCACATCAATAATAAAGTACAGAGGCCATGCATTATATAATTTAAGAATTCCACAAATCTAAAATACAGAGGCGGCTCGTTACCAAATTATTGAGAATTCACAATGACAACGAAAATCATTTAATTAATCCTTAATGGATCAAATCAGAATCTATTGAAAGCTTTTAAAAATTAATATTGATAAGTACCTAAACTAATTTAAACAATATCTAAACACATTTTTAAAAAATTAGAAATGTGTAGTGGATACTAATGAATTCAATGTCTAAGTGAGTTATCTAAATGCTAAAAAATGTAACTATTACTTACAAGCAGTTTATGAGCCTTTCAAGATTAAATTACATTGATAATATTTTTTTAACGAATAAGTATACTTCAAAAAATTCGTATATATAAGACAAAACGTGAAATAATTTTGTCAGATGATACAAAATGTTCAGTGCTAAAGTTGTTATCATCCTCGCTGCTGTAGCAATTTGCTATGGTAAGTAATTGTTTCTTGTTTTCTAATATTTTATGCGATTTTTACAAACTTTAATAATTTTTGTTCCACACGGTCCACATTAATAATAAAGTAGAGAGGCCTGACCTAAAATACAAATACAAATTATTGGGAATTCACAATGACAATGAAAATCATTTTACTGTTTTAGAAAGGTATATTATACCATTTTAAACTACCTAGATACACCTAAAACATCTACATCTGTACTGAGTTCTATATTCGTCATTGTGAACCCCAATATTTTTGTCACAAGCCATCACTGCGAAGAGCAATAATATTAAAATTTTACATAACAAGCGATAAGTAACTAGATGATCTAACAACATAATAATTATCGGTTAGGAGTTGTCAGAGAGTGTCGTCATAAAACTGTTCCATTCATAAATGGTTTTAAATCTTAAGAATATTTTGCAAAGTCTGCGGTGCTTCAAGGAACTATCCCTGGTCCTTTTATTTTTAATATAACATCGTGGAGTGCATTGATGTTAAATGTCTTTTATATGTGGATGCTTGGAAAATTGGAACATTTTTAATGTGATGTATACCAATGCTGACTGTAAAAGTGTTTATTATAAAATAAAAGCAGTCGAAAATTAGTGTCACTTAAACCTTCTTCCTTTAAATGCATAATTATTTTATGATATCATTTATATTAAAATATGATCCAAGTTTATCCAATTATAAGATAAACAATTCATATATTTTGTCCAAAGCTTTCATTTATGTTACGCTAAGAGAACATTTTGTTGCTATTAAAGAAAATGCATTGACCGTTAACAAATAATTATGTTGAATATGGTCGAAGTTATTTAATTTGAACGTAAAATATTTTTGACCCAATAATAAATCATATTTATAATAAAAAATAATGTTTCTTAACTATTATATAATATCTGTTTAACTATTAATATTCTAATAAATATTCTCCAATTATTAATAACTGATGATTTCCACATAAATAAATAATATTTTCTTAACAATTGTCAAATGCAAAAATGCTTTCTTTACTATTAACAAAAAAATTTTGCATGTTGTACTGCATGTTCAATAGTTATTTAAACATAGTTTCAAATACTTTTGCCTTGTTTATATTGTACCTGTAATCGCTTATGTTGTAGTATACTATATCTGTAAACTATTTAAGATGATTCTATTGCAATTAAATAAATAAATAAATAAATAAATATGAATATATTTTTTAATTACATCGCGCTGCAAAGACATAAGTAATAGGACAGTCAATATAGACATCTTATATTGAATATTTCACATTAATTACAAATGTTTTCAAACTTTCCAAGATCCGGAACTAATAAATTTATAACAAAATGGCGCTTTTGTGTGTTGAGAAAAAATTGCAAAAGTGCTTCAAACTTGAAGCAATATATATTGTAATATTTTCATCATTATATCAGATTAGCAATAACGGTTTTGTTCATAAAACAAAAAAATTGCAGAAATTTTTTATTTATATCAGAAATAAAAATCATATTCATATCATGTACATAGTTCTGATTAGAATAACAGCCCTAATATTTAACTAAATACTTTTTTATCCATATATTTCTGATAACCGATAACTGCAAATTAAGAAAAAGTTAATATTACAACTATACACTGTGAAACAGCCAAATGGAATAAATTGGGTAATACATAAATGGAAAAATAATCCGACACTTTGATTGGTATTTTTAGTAGCGCATAAAACTTTTATACATGGTTTGTCATGTAACAGTGGCCAATACCAACTTTCTCAATTTAAATATAACATGCACCCTGTATATTTTTCAATTTTTGGATTCAGACAATTCTAGACATATTTTATATACTATGTCCTATACCTAACTGTTTCGGAAATATTAAAAGTTTTCCGATTTATTGCAAAAATTAACATTAATAAAATAAAATGATTTGATTACAGAAACTCGTTACAACATACTCAAAAACTGAAAAATAATACTGTTTATTTTTTGATAATGTAACAAAAGAAAACACGTCTCAATGCCAACCTCTTGGCAACATCCTAATCTGAAATAAAAATGTCTTCTAACGTTGCTCAACATTTCAGGAGTGACCGATCTAATCGCAAGTGTAGTCAGCTAGGTTTTAATATTTTCGAAACAGTTAGGTATAGGACAGTAAACAAAATGTGTCCAAAATCCAAAAATAAAATATATACAGGGTGTTACATTTAAAATTAGAAAGTTGGTATTGGCCACTGTTACATGACATAAAAAGTTTTTGTTAAAAAATGAGCAACTAAAAATACCAATCGACTTGTCCCTATTTATTTTGCTAAGAAAAATAGTATTAACATTTGCAACCAATTTTCAAAACTTTTGAATTTTTTTGACAAAATTGAAGAAAAATAAAAAATTATTTTGATATTTTTACAAAAAAAATATTTCCGTGCTGAATAAAAAGTTGCAAATTGGAATAGCTGTTCCAAAAACTTGTATGAGTTATGACATCGTTCTGCAGCACTTTGCAATTTTTTTGTCTATGATATTTACAAAAACACTATTTTACAAAAAAAAATCATGTTCCGGACTTGCAAATAAGTTACAAATCTGATATAATGTTAAAAATAATACAATACATAGCTTCAAGTTTGCAGCACTTTTGCAATTTTTTTTTAAGTTATAATAAATTTATTTTTTGTGCAATTATTAATATGTTCCGGACCTCAAAAAAAGTTGCAAAATTAAATTTACAATTATTTCAATTTAAAAAATATTCCAACAAAGTTTAAAAACTTTTGTAATTAATTTGAATTGATTATTTCTAATTACTGGCCTAGAAATCAGATGCAAAGTTAAGCCTGCTTGCTATAGCGTATGCAACCAGGCTTACCTGAATAGTGAATTTTTATTTTTCATAAAATACGAAGTTAAACCTGTGTTACTATTTACCGTTTTAGGAATAGTATATTTAAAAACAAGTTTAGACAAGCAAAGTTTTACTAAACGAATATGGCTTTGGAGTAAGAGCAAGCGCAGCGAGCCAGTTACTTAAAATAAATTGTACCATTTTCCATTTAATGTTCTGGAGTTTTGTAATACTAGAACAATATTTTCGACTTCACTTATTAAATGTTTCTTCTTTTTCTGTTTTAAATGCTTCAGTAGTGCCATATTCTTTGAATACTTCGAGGATTTGATCTGAAATTTGATCAAAATAGTGTAATGAACCGAAAAATTATATACCTATTGTAAAATTTTGAATAAAGTTTCTCTATAGTATCTTATGGGAAGTTATTGTTAATAGATAACTGTTTAATGATATTAGTTTCTTTATTAAACAACATCTATGACCTAGCTCACTAGCAAGCTCTATAAAAAAGACTTAAAAGAAGCAATTTTGTTACCTGTATGGAAATTCGTTCTAAATTATATGGGTATACTGGTCCGTATAGATATTACACACGTAGTACTATTATTACACGCTATCGAGTACAATTTTAAAGAGTTAATCACAAAAAATTAGACAAAAAACTATTCTCTTATCAGCCGCTACGTTATCTCTCTCAGCCCTACGTATACATTTTATTTTATATCCCACCGCTGTTACCAATGTTACGCAGGTTTTTGTTATCCCAATTTATTTCAACTCAACTTTTACAATACCTTTACAATACAACTGATAACACTAACGTAAAACTGACTACTGACGTCAGGATCATTGACTTATACAGGGTGTATCCAAATACCACCGAAAAAATTAAAGGCGTGATTCTGTGATGAAAATTAATGTGAGTGTTTGGTATAAATTTTTTTAAAAAAACCCTCCCCGGAAAGGTTACACCCCTTCGAAAATTAAAAAAAAATAATGGTTTTTCTTTTTTATTTTCCCTGTATATCAAGCTAAAGACACGAAACTTGGTAAACATTATCTGTCAATAAAGGTACACTTTTTAAAATTTTTTCAACCCTGAAGTATGCTTAGAAGGGGTTGAAATAATCAACCCCTAAGATATTTTTTCTTACAACTTTTTTTTAGATAAAAATTTTTTCTTTATAAAGTATGATTGAAAAGCCCAATTCATTGACTAACTTTTTTAACTCTACAAGTTTTTTCTAAAACTTGAGCATTTACGATAAAAAAAATCTAATGCAATGCATTTTCAAAAAGATGAGCTAACGCGAGTGTATTTTGCGTCAAGTCTAGTGGCCTGTGCTTTGCATAAAAACATTAATACTGATACCAGGATTGTGTAGTGTCATTTTCTGTTACCCATTTTATTGTTTCACAAGTTTTATGATTGTGTATTGTAGGAAATATTAGTTGATTGAAAATATGAATGCATATTCGAATTTGAAAATGGCAGATATGCATTTTACATACGGTCGTGCTAACGGTAATTCATTGGAAGCGCAAAGACTTTATGCTGAACAGTACCCAGAGCGTAGACTACCCTATCATACTACGTTCACAACTATTCACCGACGCTTGCGGGAACGTGGTAATTTTGAAAAAAGAAGTTATGATTCTGGTCGTACTAGAGAAGTTAGAACTGCAGCTGTAGAAGAAGCCGTACTTAATTCAATTGAAGAATTCCCAGAAACTAGTACCAGGAGAATAGCTCGTGTCCTACATGTAAGCCATTCCGTTGTTTTTAGAATTTTAAAAGAACAAATGTTGTATCCCTATCATCTTCAACGGGTGCAGGCGTTAATGATTCGAGATTTTTTACCCCGTGTGATTTTTTGTCAGTGGCTTTATAATATGATTGGCCAAGCACCACAGTTCTTAGGTAATATTTTATTTACTGACGAGGCGAGTTTCTCAAGATACTGTATTAGAAATTTTCACAACAATCACCTTTGGGCTGACAAAAATCCTCGTGGCTTTTTGAAAGAAAACATCAGTATCAATTTTCATCAAACGTGTGGCTCGGAATTATTGATAATCATTTAATTGGTCTCCATTTTCTTCCGCTACGATTAAATGGTGAAGCATATTTTCATCTCCTTGAAGAATTACCTGTTCTTCTTGAAGAGGTTCCCATTCAAATTAGGCAACATTTATGGTTTATGCACGATGGTGCACCAGCTCATTTTAGTCCAAGAACTCACCTGGATGAGGTGTTTGCTAATCAATGGATAGGTCGAGGAGGACCTGTAAACTAGCCAGCCCGCTCCCCTGACCTTAATCCTTTGGAGTTTTGCATATGGGGATATCTGAAATCTTTGATATACACAAACCCAGTTGAAAATATCGATGATCTGCGAAACCGCATTGTAGCAGGGTGTGAAACTATAAGAAATTCTCCAGGAATATTTTATCGTATACGCAATTCTATGAGGAAAAGGGTAGATGCTTGTATTGAAACTAAAGGCGGTCATTTTCAACAATTATTATAATTGTATTGTCGATATTCGACAGGTTTTTGTTCATTGTTAGTTCACTTTTGTTTTTAGTTGTAGAAGTCTTAAGAATCATAATTTGGTTGGCTGTTGTTTAATAAAATGCTATTTTACATGAGCTTATTTATTTTTTCTCATAAATGCTTAAGTTTTCGAAAAAAAATTAGTCAATGAATTGGGCTTTTCAGTCATACTTTTTTAAAGAAAAAGTTTTCATCTAAAAAAAAGTTGTAAGAAAAAATATCTTAGGGGTTGATTATTTCAACCCCTTCTAAGCATACTTCAGGGTTGAAAAAATTTCAAAAAGTGTACTTTTATTGACAGATAAGGTTTACCAAGTTTCGTGTCTTTAGCTTGATATACAGGGAAAATAAAAAAGAAAAACCATTATTTTTTTAATTTTCGAAGGGGTGTAACTTTTCCGGGGAGGGTTTTTCAAAAAATTTTATACCAAACACTCACATTAATTTTCATCACAGAATCACCCCTTAAATTTTTTCGGTGTTATTTAGATACACCCTGTATAGCTTGCTTGACCCTTCTCGAACCTTCTCGAACTGCCCAGATTTTTTTTGACAAGGACATTGACAGACATTTCTGGACTATTCTATCTTCTTTTACTCGTACTTTTACTTATGACAATCTCAGCACGCGGCAGGGTTTTACGTAACAATATAATACAGATTGCCTGTACTCCGTAATACAGATTGTTTGTACACAGTACAGCAGCGTTTTTGCACCGTGCATGTTTGACAGTTCGAAATACCCGATTTTAAATTCGACTTACCTTATCCAATGTACACAAAAGGATAAACCGTTCTTTAGTGCTATCTTAAGATTTTTGGTTCATTATTTATTAAAAAAACTAGGAGTATAGGTTCATAATTTCTGAACAACAAAATAGTTTGAGGATTATCCTTTCAGTGGTCGCATCTCATAAAACCTCTAGTTGTTTCTCAGGTTTAAAAATAGGTTTACTCACATGTCAATTTCTCAGTAACGATTGCATACCCTTACTTTGATTAATTAATCGTTTTTATTATTAATTTTTTTCCTATTATTAAAGAGTTATTGCAAGTTCACTTAAAGTCAGTCACTATTAGTGCCGCTCTTATTTTAACATCTGAGCATGCGCAGATCACTTACATTCTGTCCTTAATTGTGGATGTTTAAGGACAGTAGTTACTGGTGACTTTATAGTTTTCGGGTGCGCTAGCCAACATTCGTATCAGTTCAAAGTTTTTTAATATTAAATATTTAATATCATCGTCATCTAAACCTTCTAAAATGGTAATTTCTTTTGCCTCTTTCATATTATTTACTATCATAAACAAAAAAAAAAAGATGAACTGTAATTTAAAATTTTTAAAATGAGGTTAGAAATATGTATAAGGACAATTACTCTAATGTCAAAATTTCAGGTTTGCAATAAGTCTTATTTTAGCATGGAATTTATTTGCCTCTAATTACGTTGTCACTATTAGTGGCTGTCGTTATAGAAATTTGCAATATCTCTTTGTTGTCGCGACCTGCAAACTCCTCATTTTTGTAGTCAGTTTTTTAAATTACTTTTAACACTTTATCCAAATTATTGTACGTAATATATAATTTGCGACCACTAGTGATTTATAGAACACAATTATTATTGTATTATCCACATCTTTTAGGAGTCCCAAGTGCCAAATTCTACATTGATCGCCTAAAGATAGACGGTGGTAACGCCGCCAAAATAGAAGATTACCCATTCGTAGCTTCTATCCAAGTGTGTATTTTCGGCAGCTGCATACATACTTGTGGTGGTGTAATCATTGATAACAAGTGGATACTGACCTCTTCTGCTTGTGCTGTGGAAAGTATAAAGATTGTTGTCGGAACTGCTGATTTACAGGGAGATGACAAAGTTTTAGTTGACATTGATTCACTTTACGTTCATCCTAACGCTCCCATTAATGGGTAAGTATTTTAAACTCTTATCCCAAAGCGTTTCTCCAAAAGTTACCCTAAAGTATATTTGTAACAATTATCTATTTTTTTTAGAACACTACCCATTGTAAATGATCTTGCTTTAATTAAGTTATCTAATTCTCTGACCTTTAACGACAAAGTTCAAGCGGCAAAATTGCCAAAGAAAGGCCAAGAATTCACCGGTAAAGCTGTCTTGATTGGTTTCGGTGACTCTGAAACACCTAAAATGAACACACTCCAAGCCGCCCTTGATTTAGCCCTTACGTCTAACGATGGTAAGTATGTTAAAGCTAGGGACATTATTATTAGTTTTAAACAGAATTTATTCCTTACATATACAGGGTACCCAGAAATGTTCTTCAAAGAATGAAACCACGAAATCTATAGCTGATTTTATGACGATTTAACTTAAATTACCTTCATCCAAAAATGCTTCCTTCCTAAGGGAGCTAGAGCTCTTTGCAGATAGCGCTCTAAAATTGAAATTATTGAAATTAAAATTGAAATACTTTTGAAACGGATTTTTATTAAACGATATTATTCTATACATTTATTTGAATCTAACCAATCAAATTTCGTAAACAAGATTTTTTTAGTATAGTCATTAGCGGCTCGTTTGGGTGGGGTATTGGATATTTTTATTCAATTTCTTTTGTCTTTCGAAAAGTCGCCATTTTGAAATAAAATTTAAAATTTTTTATAATTTACTTACAAAAATGGTGCTCTTATCTAAAGTCTTTATGACCAACCGTTTTCGAGAAAAATTGACTTAAACTTTTCATGTCTTAACATATATTTTCATGGATTAACAAGTTAATTTCAAAATTATGATAAGGTGGCCATGGAAAATAAACAAAATACCATACCTATGAATTGTATAAATACATATTAAACTGTTTTTGCCAAACTTTAGGTAGGTACTCAAAAAATAATTTCAATTAATGGCTGCTTTTCTAAAGTAATAAAATAAATTCATGTAAAAATTAAAGTTTCCGTTAATACAATTTGTTTAAAAAAAAAAAAAATAAGAACGAAATGATAACTGAAAGTATTGAACACAAAATTGAATCTAAAGTAGATGCTCTACATGACGGCCATCCGTTTCTATGCACAAATTTATTCGATTTCGTTAAGATCGCCGAATTCTTGCAAAAATTCCTATATTTTTTCTAAATTCGTTGCAAGCATTCTGAAGTCGTCTCCAAAGGTGATTCCATGATTCAATTGGTTGCGAATAAACCATTAATTTGAGATATCCCCATACATAAAAAAATCGCATGGATTTAAATCTGGAGACCTCGCTGGCCAAGCAACGGGACCGCCTCTTCCTATCCATCGGTCTCGGTAATTATTGTCTAAAAACTCACGAACATTCCTTCTAAAGTGAGCTGGACAACCATAATGTAAATACCGCAGGTTCTATCGAATATTTAAGTTAATCCAATAAATCTGGTAAAGTATTTTGTAAAAAGTCGAGATAATTCTCACCATTTAAACGATTGAGCAATTCTACAGGACCAAGCAGATTATCACAAAGAACACCTATCCATGCATTGACGCTAAATAACATGAGGATTATCACCAACATAAGAGTAGTAATGTGCATATTAAAAATTCCATCTCTTGTGAAAATAGCTTCATCAGAAAACAAATGTTTAAAAAGAAGTGGTGATTTTGATTTTCTTGCATTCGTAACCAAATATAAAAGGCCACAAGGGCAGGAAAATCACCACTATTCAGAGCCTGAACTTATCTATAATGAAATGGGTACAAGTTTTCCCGATGGACAATGTGCCACACAGATTATTTAAAAATATTAGGAAATATTTCAGCTAATCTTCTTATGCTAATTTCAGGGTTTTCCTCTATTTTCATTAAAATATTATTCTCATATTTCTCGAATACGTCAGCATGTCTACCAGTTTCGTTGTTTCTGGGAATTACAGATCCTGTTTCCCTAAGTCTTTGATGAAGAACTGTGAATTTTTTTGAAACAGGATGCCTTCTATTTGGAAATTTCTCGGCATACCTACGTGACGCTGCCAGCGCGTTATATTGCATTTCACCATACACTAAATGCATTTCAGCATATTCTTCATTACTAAATCGAACCATCTTTAATTTTTAATATTTTAGAAATTAAGATAATTCCTAACAATAAGTAACACAAAACTTACTTACGGTATGAAATATGTCATTTGAAATTTATGTAATTGTTATTTCGTTTATTTTCTACAGCCATCGTATCATAATTAATTTAGAAATTTATTTGTTAGTCAATCGAAACATAAAAAGTTTAATCGATTTTTCTCGAAAACGGTTGGTCATGGAGACTTCAGAGAAGAGAATAATTTTTTATGTGAAAATATTTCAAAATGGCAAATTTTTAAAAGAAAAAAAATTATATAAAAATATCCAATATTGCCCAAAGAAGTCGCTTATGACTACAAACCCTCTAGCCGGAATGTCCGACAAAAGGCGGGCTTCGGATAATTCACTTGTTCACATCTGGTAACAATTTTTTTTGATGAAACGTGATAAAAAGATATTTGTTAGTTCTCACTTTACTTAGTGTAATAAATTTGAGATTTGTACCATTTCTCGTTTTGGGTCTGTTGCCAAGTGAAGTTCATCTGTCTGTGAGTGCATACGTATAAATTAGGGTTGAAAATTTACATTTTTTGTGAAATTAAATAAAATATTTCGCCTGGTGCTACCGGAATAAAAAAATATTGGTAAGTTGTATTTATTATATACTTTCATAATATCAAATATGTTATGTGTTTTTTAAATTAGAAATAGTGAGTTGATTGAAACCATTTTGTCGGGTATTCCCGTGTACGCTAAGTTTTCACGCAAGAATGAATTCTTGTATTACTGATAATTCCTTGTTTATTTTCATATTTGTTACTTTATTTATCTTTGTTTTGTCGTAGTTAGACGATATTTATTTATAGAAAATGAAATAATAGATGAATATAGTACTTTTTTTGCACAGAAATTCCTTAAGAAGAATAGCCAATAAATAAATTTCCCTACACTGATATTCGATAAAATCTTTAAAATTTTTAAAATTATGTCCGTTTTATTGGACAGTTATCAGACCTAGAAGAACAATAAAGCTGTACGTCTTGCCTTGAGGTATGTAGGTTTGACGCCTTTTCGCAACTAGAGAAAGTCGCTCATTACTCTCGAACCGAAAAGACCTACGGTGAAATTGAGTATCCTCGAATCATCCGGGAATACAATCATCACATGGGTAGTGTTGACCTGATGAATGGTCCAATGGATCGGTACCACATTGGTTTGAAGACAAACAGTGCCTCTTTGAAATTATTTCATCATATTGCTGGATATGTCGTTGACAAATGCCCATCTTCTTTATTGACACGTTCATGCAGGTTGACCAAAATATCCTGATTGAACGACTTTCAGAACCGAAGTTGCCCAGTCGTTAATGATCAGTCAGGCACTTCCAGGCAGAAAACCAGTTGGTCCGCCATCTCAGGTCTCTAAACAAGCAGCTAAACAATCATCTGGAGTTCGTCGCACGTATGTCATTCTAAAAGATGCTCGATTCGATGACATTGGTCATCGTCCCGATCAATTAGACCGTAGTTGCAAAAGAACGTGCAAGTTACCTGGCTAAAACCCAGGTTTACTACATGAAGTGCAAAGTAAATTTGTGTCTAATTTCAACTAGAAAATGCTGACATACATACTTGGTTTTCTTACCCAAATAAATTTTTTATATCTATCTTTTCTTATGGTTGTTACCTATTCTAATATTATTACTTTTATCGTGTTTTGCCTTAAAATAACTATGTATTTCGCCCTTTTTAGTGAGAAAATTAACAACAAAATAATACAACTTGTCTTTTATTTAATGATACGTTTAATGGAATGCCCGCCTTTTGTCGGTCTACCTATTTTTACACCTAGAGATCAAACCACCTGACCCATCGAAAAATGGACTTCATTTTCGTGATCAGTGCATTCAATTTATCCCTACATAAAATTATGAGTTTAAACAAAAATATTCCTGTTAGAGGGTTAAAAAAAATTTATTTACGAAATCTGATTTGTTAGATTTAAATAAATAAATGTACAGAATAATAATAAAAAGCCGTATTAAAGGTATTTCAATTAAACCGATTTTAGAGCTCTATCATCAAAGAGCTCTAGTTCCCTTAAAAAGCATTTTTGGATTAAAGTAATTTAGGCTAAATCGTCATAAAATCAACTCTAAGTTCGTGGTTTTATTCTTTGAAGGGAAATTTTTTTATTAAATTTAATAAATTTTAGTAAATTTTAGTAAATTTTAGTAAATTTTAGTAAATTTTAGTAAATTTTAGTAAATTTTAGTAAATTTTAGTAAATTTTAGTAAATTTTAGTAAATTTTAGTAAATTTTAGTAAATTTTAGTAAATTTTAGTAAATTTTAGTAAATTTTAGTAAATTTTAGTAAATTTTAGTAAATTTTAGTAAATTTTAGTAAATTTTAGTAAATTTTAGTAAATTTTAGTAAATTTTAGTAAATTTTAGTAAATTTTAGTAAATTTTAGTAAATTTTAGTAAATTTTAGTAAATTTTAGTAAATTTTAGTAAATTTTAGTAAATTTTAGTAAATTTTAGTAAATTTTAGTAAATTTTAGTAAATTTTAGTAAATTTTAGTAAATTTTAGTAAATTTTAGTAAATTTTAGTAAATTTTAGTAAATTTTAGTAAATTTTAGTAAATTTTAGTAAATTTTAGTAAATTTTAGTAAATTTTAGTAAATTTTAGTAAATTTTAGTAAATTTTAGTAAACTTTAGTAAATTTTAGTAAATTTTAGTAAATTTTAGTAAATTTTAGTAAATTTTAGTAAATTTTAGTAAATTTTAGTAAATTTTAGTAAATTTTAGTAAATTTTAGTAAATTTTAGTAAATTTTAGTAAATTTTAGTAAATTTTAGTAAATTTTAGTAAATTTTAGTAAATTTTAGTAAATTTTAGTAAATTTTAGTAAATTTTAGTAAATTTTAGTAAATTTTAGTAAATTTTAGTAAATTTTAGTAAATTTTAGTAAATTTTAGTAAATTTTAGTAAATTTTAGTAAATTTTAGTAAATTTTAGTAAATTTTAGTAAATTTTAGTAAATTTTAGTAAATTTTAGTAAATTTTAGTAAATTTTAGTAAATTTTAGTAAATTTTAGTAAATTTTAGTAAATTTTAGTAAATTTTAGTAAATTTTAGTAAATTTTAGTAAATTTTAGTAAATTTTAGTAAATTTTAGTAAATTTTAGTAAATTTTAGTAAATTTTAGTAAATTTTAGTAAATTTTAGTAAATTTTAGTAAATTTTAGTAAATTTTAGTAAATTATAGTAAATTATAGTAAATTTTAGTAAATTTTAGTAAATTTTAGTAAATTTTAGTAAATTTTAGTAAATTTTAGTAAATTTTAGTAAATTTTAGTGAATTTTAGTAAATTTTAGTAAATTTTAGTAAATTTTAGTAAATTTTAGTAAATTTTAGTAAATTTTAGTAAATTTTAGTAAATTTTAGTAAATTTTAGTAAATTTTAGTAAATTTTAGTAAATTTTAGTAAATTTTAGTAAATTTTAGTAAATTTTAGTAAATTTTATTAAATTTTATTAAATTTTAGTAAATTTTAGTAAATTTTAGTAAATTTTAGTAAATTTTAGTAAATTTTAGTAAATTTTGGTAAATTTTAGTAAATTTTAGTAAATTTTAGTAAATTTTAGTAAATTTTAGTAAATTTTAGTAAATTTTAGTAAATTTTAGTAAATTTTAGTAAATTTTAGTAAATTTTAGTAAATTTTAGTAAATTTTAGTAAATTTTAGTAAATTTTAGTAAATTTTAGTAAATTTAAGTAAATTTTAGTAAATTTTAGTAAATTTTAGTAAATTTTAGTAAATTTTAGTAAATTTTAGTAAATTTTAGTAAATTTTAGTAAATTTTAGTAAATTTTAGTAAATTTTAGTAAATTTTAGTAAATTTTAGTAAATTTTAGTAAATTTTAGTAAATTTTAGTAAATTTTAGTAAATTTTAGTAAATTTTAGTAAATTTTATTAAATTTTATTAAATTTTAGTAAATTTTAGTAAATTTTAGTAAATTTTAGTAAATTTTAGTAAATTTTAGTAAATTTTAGTAAATTTTAGTAAATTTTAGTAAATTTTAGTAAATTTTAGTAAATTTTAGTAAATTTTAGTAAATTTTACTAAATTTTAGTAAATTTTAGTAAATTTTAGTAAATTTTAGTAAATTTTAGTAAATTTTAGTAAATTTTAGTAAATTTTAGTAAATTTTAGTAAATTTTAGTAAATTTTAGTAAATTTTAGTAAATTTTAGTAAATTTTAGTAAATTTTAGTAAATTTTAGTAAATTTTAGTAAATTTTAGTAAATTTTAGTAAATTTTAGTAAATTTTAGTAAATTTTAGTAAATTTTAGTATATTATAATAATATTAATTTATTTGTAATAATATTAGCTTCTCAAGCAGACCTAAGAGTTAAAAAAACTGTACGTTTTTTCTGTTATTTTAGTTTGCGCCAAACAGTTGGAAGATTTTTTTAAAGACCAACAGCTTTTAGATAACGACAGCAACGTATGTACCTTAAGCACAACCTCAAACACCTGCGATACTGACCTCGGTAGTCCTCTGAGTCAAGATGGAACGGTCATCGCTACAGTTTCGTTGTTCATTCAGCCATGCGGTTCCAAAGGAGCTCCAAATGTGTACACCAAGCTTTCTACTTTCGTCGACTGGATAGATCAAACCATTACCGAAAATAGTTAAATTATTTTAGAATTTTTATAAATTAAAGATATAATTTAACAGTGACTTTTTATAAGGTACCTAAACCACTCAAAACGAAAAAGAAAAATCTTTTAAAAATGATATTTTTTATCGGTATAACTTTATATTTTTGTATATATACAGTATGTATAGGCGCCGGAACTCAAAAATTGCTTTGGGTGCCCGGCCTCAATGCGGGAAATGGGGGCTCCCCCCTCCACATTCCACTTAGGGTCGCCAGGGGTTTTTTAAAAGCCATTTTAAAGCGCTGATTTTATGAAAATTTTCTTGGAAAAAAAGGTATTGTCAAATGTCGAATAGCTGGAGTTTTGAGGATTGAAGCGACAGACGGGAGTATCAACAATCAGTATGCCTAAATCAGTATATCTGGCATCTGGCAACCCTATATGCCACCACTGGTATTCAGTGGTGTTGCGGTGCTAGAGTAGCAATGAAATAAGTAGAAACACAATTAGGCATTCCAACGACCTGTCAAACAATTATTTTTATTGTGTTTGACATAAAATATTTAAATGTAATCCAATATTCATGATTTTACGTAAAGTAGATAAAATACACCATATGTCGCCACCCTTAGATATACCAAACCTGCCCACTGGTAATTCATTTGTTTGGAATGCATAATATTAAACATTTATTAATTATCATGAAATTAGAAGAAGATTTCTGATGATTTATTAATACACATATAATAGAGTATTGTATATATACAGGGTGGCCTTTTGAAAATGAAACAGAGTTAATTTTGGGCACCCCAGGTCATTTACGAAAAAACGCTCGGACTCGTCAATTTTTAATTTTAGGGGGAAATATTTTTTGCCAGTTACACTCCCTGAACGAAAACCCTTTAGTAGGGCTAAAACTTACCCCTAAAATCTTAAATGGAAAGAGGAGTCGAATGATATCTTATTTTGAAGGTATTTTTACCTAGAGTATAACCCCTGAGTTTTAAATCGCTACTCTCTTCCTAGCCATGTACTTTTAACAATTTTTATTTTCTTTAAATTCTTACCAATTACTCTAGTAAATACTGGAAATGCTAAACCTGGGAGTCCATGGAGGTTTTGTTCAAAACGCTCTCGGAGATTTTGATGCATCTGTAGGGTAATTTGATGACATTCATCAATTATCCGTTGTCGCAGATTTTCCAGTGATGTTGGCTGGATGGCATACATTTTAGTTTTAAAGTGACTGTTTCGCCTGCATCAGGATATTAAAACTTTTGCCTGCAAAACTAGAATACGATACCAGAGAGGACTGTTTTTCATCTCACATTTTCCATCTACCATGCATCCATAGGTCACTGAGTTTTAGACGATCGATGAAAAATAAACACATCAGCAGTAACACGGTTTACTTTTAAGAAGAACACCATACTACATTATCCATTTTCTATTTTCAGTATATACATACATACTCAGAACGTTTATACATCTTTTACTTTGGACGCCATTAGCTGAAGACCGATAAAACGATGTGTTTATTAAAAAGGTTGAAACAAGTCTGATGGACTTCTTACCGTAGTCGGCGTGGTTCAAAAACAGTTAAGGCTCGCACTTTGATTTCGCGCATACACATTACCAACTGCCTTTCTTTCGCCTTATGATTATTATCGATTTTGAATTGGTGCATTTCTATTGGATAATAATCGCGTTAGTTATTTTTATTTTGTTGGATTTGCAAACCTTGTCCAGAATTGATTTTTTAGTAAATTCAACAGGGGTGGCCTGAATCATTTCCCCGATTCTGATACTTATGCTTAAGGTAATTTTTAACAGTGACCCTATAAGAAATCGAACGGGTTTAGATCCGGAAACTTAATACTTACTTTTCTTCCGATCATTGACCTGGAAACATTTGATACAAATACTGACGAGCAATCAGTACAAAATGGGGTGACTCATCACCTTGCTATAATATTTAGTTGTTTGCTACTGATCGTCATTCTCAATTAACTCTAGTAATGCTGGATCAATGCTGGAAAAATGGCGGTTTCTAAAAATTTCAGGTACATTTCTGCGGTTAAAATTTCAGATAAAAAAGGTACTAATTATACGGTTACCAAAAATGCCAGCTCAAACATTTAGTTTTACCGGATGTTGCGTATGCACTTCACGAAATATTCTGGAATTTGAATCGGAACAATAACGACAGTTGTAACGATTTACCGTACCATTTAGTGCATTCGTTAGAAAAACATACGTTGAAAAGAAATTGCTGAATATTTATTGCCCGTTCAGTCATAATTTCACAAAATTATAATCACCTATCAAAATCGCATCCATTAAGTTCTTCTACCAGATGTATTTTGTAGGGATGAAACTTATGTTTTTTCAATATCTTCTGAATGATACTTCTCTTAATACCAGATGTTATCGCCAACTCTCTTTAACTCAATGTGGGTTCTTGAACAACATGATTTAAAATCGCCACCTCTGTAACTTCATTTACTACAGCATTTTCCATTTCACGTTTTTTGTTAGCTACTGACCCCGTTTCCCAAAATTTTTGGACTAACTCCAAAATATACTTTCTATTTTGATGTTGATTGTTAAATAGTTGGGCAGTTCTATTAGTCATTTATTGTTCGCAAAAAGTGAAATTATTTGCACCCTCTCGGCAATTGAGTAAACCATTATCACAAATACGCCACTTTTAGGCCGACTCTACAACGAAATAAACTAAATCTTACTACATCAAGCAAAGAATGTCATCTGATAACAATAATGGAAGGCCACAGGAATAAAAGTAGAATTGTAACAAAAAATTCCTTTTTTTAATAACAATGTAAAAATTATGTTAACTTATGTACTTTTGGTAAGCCACTGTGTTCACTACGTACATAGTAACAATGTCAAACTCGGGGGTTATAATCTAGGTAAAAATACCTTCAAAATAAGATATCATTCGTCCTCCCTTTCTATTTAATATTTTGGGGTGAAACTAACCCACGCTAGAGGGTTTCCGTTTAGGGGGTGAAACTGCCAAAAAAATGTTTCCCCCCAAAAATCAAAAATTAACGGGTACAGGCGTTACTTTAGTAAATGACCTGGATTATTTGCGAGAACTACTAGAGAGCTGTTTCTGACACTAAATGAACGTTATTTTTTAAGATGCTTGATAATCTGGAGCAACTTCCAAATGTTCTCCCTTCTTCCCTCCAGTCCTAGATTTGTCAAAAGGCCATATAGGCCGCGGCCTAGGGGCGGCAGCGTCCTAGGGGCGACAGATTTCAGAAGACGCTTACTTGATTTCAGAGAATAAAAGTCAAACAAGTTCACTGGTTTTCTCATTATTTTTTTATACTAGTACGTATAATCCCTATAGAAACTCATTCCTATCGAAAATTATCAATCCTAGGTACCTACTGTTATTCTACCTATTTTATCTATATTACGACGATTTGGTTCAAGAATGTGTACATTTTCACAGGCACATTTTCTCTAATAAAACTACAGAGTGTGCAGTGAAGCCTGGATCAAACTCACTACTGTCTCTCAACGTTTATAAGGAATCAATCTTTGTCTAATGTTTACCCTAACTTTGATATTGCTGTCCGCATCGCACTTTCCACTCCGGCTACAAATTGTTCTAGGAAAAGAAGTTTTTCCTGTTTAAAACGCCTGAAAAATTATCAAAGGTCTTCATTGTCTCAAGAAAAAATTAATTCTTTAGCTCTTCTCTACAAAGAAGCAGAGATAATAAACACCATAAACTATGATGATATTATAGATTATTTTGCTATTAAAAAGTCTCGTTAAAATTATAATTCTTGTTTCTTTTTTACGCTCTTTCTTAATGACTAATTCATTCGTTTATTTACCTTTAGTATCTTCCGTACTACAAATGGAAAATTATAATTTTAGAAAGGTACATGGGGCGGTGAAAATAAAGTGGCCTACACTCATTAAAAATATAAATCCCTCACTGATTCCCTCAAGCATCTGTTTGATAGCATATGTACAGAACTCTTGTTTTAATAATTGTAGACCGTTATTGGTCGTCATAGGATTTTATACACTAAGAATAATAAACCCTTAAGTCCAAGTTCAACGCGTTGTTAATGACAAGTGACGGGGACTTTTTTTATTACAAAAAATACAACTCCGAACGATAATATTTCCAGAAATTGTTTTTAAAAATGAGTTCAGAGTATGGTAAGGAATGGCGAAAAGTCTATAATTTGTTTAACTTTTAATGCATAATATTTTAGTAAGTGATATTTAACAAATTTTTAAAAGAAATGGATTTTCTACCATATTTTGTTGTACTTAAAAGCTAAAACGCAAAATATACTCTTTTATTTTTGCCCTTATTATTTCAGAAAACTTCTGTTAAGATTTAAACATGTACTGTTGATGAGGTGGCGCCAATTTACAACCGTGCTAATTCGAGACATATGTTTTATTAAACTAATCGTGTTGCGTATTTGTTGACATTAAGAGATAGAAAGTTAAAGTGACGTCTTGTATTACTTTAAATGAAAAATCGTTTTCTAACTTGAGTTGGATCTTAAGAAGAAATATTTAATATTTTGCATTAACATTAGGATTATTGCAACATCACAGCTCACAAATCCAACAGCCAATGAAAAACTGATGCCGCATCGAGGCATCCTGTCTCTCTTTCAACTTGGGCCATGACAGTTTCTTCATTTCACTTATTGGCAGTATTGGCACTTTTTGTCCACTTTATGCTATGGGTGCTCGGCACCAAGTTTAAAATTGCTCTGGGTGCTTGCGCACCTAGTACCCTGGGGATTCGGCGCCTATGACAGTATGGTACAAATGAAAGAAATAAATATATTATATCATTGCCTGGAAAAAATGCCGAATCTCCTCGAATTTTATTTTCAAATGTTCACCGATGATGTTTTTTTGAACAAGAATGTGGTTCTTGCGATTCATCGTTTAAAGTATTAGTTTAAAGTCTCAAAACTTCCATTTTCCACCAAGGAAAGCAGAAATCTTATTACGGTATGGTTCCGGTTTTGGTCGACACAGCTGTCAGAGAAAAGGTTAAGATGCTTTACATCAGTCGATAATTCAGAGTTAATGTAATCCATAAGAGAGGAGTTAACTTCATTGAGGCCTCTTCGGTCTTGATCCTCGAATAGGTGTAAAATCTTCCTTGATTTTTTTGAATGTTATGGATTCCAAAGAAGTTATAATTCAGTTGACGTAAATAAAAACTCTCCTGCATAGGCACAACAGGTAGCTGGAGAGTTTGCTTGCAGTCATACGTTATGCTACATACACTGGGATCGGCTTTGCATATCTCTGTAATTTTTGCCATTTTATTTTAAACATATTTGCCCACCTTTTATGTACAGATAATAGCCACTCGTTTTGCTATGTCGTTTAAAGTCGGACTTCTAATTTTCACCTCTAATTTTTCACATTCTTAACATGTTTTTACCTTAGGCCGTAGGCGGAGTGCTCAATAGTCTGAGTACGATGTGGACAATCCACCCGAGTTGTACAATATATGTTTTCTACGACTTACTAACGAAAATTTACAAATAAAAAAATATTTTAGGTTATTAAGACAAAATAACTAATTTTAAAATAATTTATGACTTTTAATAATTTTTAAAATAAAATAAACTAAAAAAAAAATATTTAATTTTTCTCCATCCAAGAAACGAACTCCAGTCTTCTGCGTGTGTGTAAGGCCAGAACGCTGACTACAGGACACATCTACTCTTTTATGTGTGTTGCTTTAATATTCGTAATTAAATTGACTTCATATAGTTTTATTTAAATTAACAAATTATTTATAATTATAGACGAAATAAAAACAGAAATGATATTATTTATAGATTCTACACAAGAATAACCCATTTTAATATATGTTTAATCTCAATAACTAAAAAATATACTGACAATTAGTTTGAAAGAATTATACCTTTTTCGCACATTCAGCTTTTTGTCTAATTGTAAGTAAAACTTCTCTTTTCCTGAATAATATACAAGCTTAGTAGGAAAACTACCAATGTGAGTTTTAAACTGTCCAGGCTTAGCATTACATGATACGTTTTTTTCACGGAATAACTTCTATAATATTCTCTATTATTTGGATTTTCTTTACCTGGTCATTTTTGTTTTATTTTATTATTTCCCATAAGCTCTTGTAAGTAGGAATCTTGTGCATCTTTGGTAAGTATACTTCTGAATTTATTAATAATCTTATTCCTGATATCTGCATTAACTTTTTGATAGCACTTCAAACGACAATTAAAACAATTCACCTAACTTAATATTTTACTTTAGAAAATAGAGATGTGTAGTTCGCGAACGAACTGTTAAAAAGAGCCGTTCTTTTGTGTGAACTAAATGAACTAGTTCGAATGTTTTAATTGAACTAGTTCACTAGTTCGACTCGACCTTCGGACCTTCAGCGGCAGCGATGAGAAAAGAACGACGAACGAGAACGAACATGATTGATATACGTCGTCTTTGATCGGTATCAGGTATCGGTATTGTATCTTTTTTCTATGGTATTGTATTGTAATTCTTTCGTTCGGAGTTCGGGTATCGCGTCGGGTCTGAACGGATTTGACAGGCCGACAGGGTCAATGATACACATTGTTAAATTAAGCAACATGTGTTTACTACTAATATGCCGTCGAAGATTTCCGAGCGATCCGCCTGAGATACTAATTAGTTGACCGCAGTATTTACATTTGGCTTTTTTATCATTTTTTTCAAAATGGTCCCACAAAACCCTTCGACACCGTTTGTTCATTTTGACACACTTGCAATTAAAAAACGCTAAATAAAATTGTACTTGACTCCAATAATTACTAATTCTACTTAAAAAAATAAAACGAATTTGTAAAATACAACAAAACAAGAACAACTGAACTACCAACCAGTTTCGTTCGCCACTCTGGGAACTACTGGTGTCCTCGCGCTAAGCGCATGATCCGTTTTCCCCAATCGGTTAAAATAGTAGTTCGTTCGCGAACTAGTTCTTCGAACTAGTTCTCGCGGGTGAACTAGTTCGTGTGAACTAGGTCTTTAAAAAGAACGAAGAGTTCACATCTCTATTACAAAAGTAACTTCACCTCAAAACTTACCGAAAGTCTTCTCCTGGTTCTAGTTTAGGTACAACGTTACCCTTATAGGTTATATATTCTTCTACACATAGCCTTGCTTTTTTAATAACTTCTGACTTATAAATGTTGTTCTTACTCTTTGTTTGCAAAGTAATTTCTGCAGTAACAGCGTTAGTCGTAGCCGTTACTGCGGCCATTTGTAATGTTTTGTTTACATTTAATAATTACACGCAGAAACAACACGATTCCATGACTCATATGATTTCAGAAAGAAACCAGTATTTTCATAGACTGCAGTATATTAAGTTAAGCGGAGACTGAATTTGTTTCTGCTTGGAATGGTATACAATTAAGATTTTGTGGAAATATCAATCTCAGAAAAAATTGACTAGTTGTTTTTGAAATTACCGATTCAGTCGTTTTCAAGAGATTATGTTATGTTGGGAATGGGGTGTTAATACACTGCGACCTAAAAGATCTATTGTGCCCCATTCTGTCGCTAATGCACAAGAAAATGTCTCAATGCCTATAACGACCCTAATTTCAATGATTGCTCGACGTTTCTTTAATACGGACTTTGAGAATTTCTCTTTTCTTTCGATTTTTATTCAAAGTTATTTTTAAATATGACCTACTTAAATATTAAATATTAAAACTTAAACAAATTATATATTTTCCCGTATTCTTTTTCGTACTCTAAAGCTAGTTTTTAAAACAATTCCTAAAAATAATTATTGCAATTCAAGCCTGTATTTTCTTTAAACCGCATTTATTAACATTTAACTTTAGTTGAAAATTTGGATGCTCTCATGCTCTTGAGTTATCTTTTAAGGTGAAGGGGGAGAAAAAGTCCTTTATATCTCACAAGAAAAGTCAATGTTTAATTATTTAACAAAACATTGAGTGCGACCGGTTTCGAAGTGTCATCACTTCATCTTCAGGCTCGCCTAGTGGAAAGGAGAATATGTGGTGTAAGGTGTGTTAACACTTAGAGCAAACGATATATAAAATAGTAAAAAAGAGAAAACTCACCATACTCTCCATCCACTAGGGAATACTACAAAACAAGTTTCATCCAATGTGGGGTGAAATAAATTGTAAAATGAACAAAGTTTACAAGTAATAAAAAGTTAAAAATATTTGAAAAAACAAATATTAGTAAATTGAAATAGTAAAATTTAAAATATTCAAGACCATATAAAACAAATCACATACATAAATTTTACTATTTCAATTGACTAATATTTTTTTCAAATATTTTTAACTTTTTATTACTTGTAAACTTTGTTCATTTTACAATTTATTTCACTCCACATTGGATGAAACTTGTTTTGTAGTATTCCCTAGTGGATGGAGAGTATGGTGAGTTTTCTCTTTTTTACTATTTTATATATCGTTTGCTCTAAGTGTTAACACACCTTACACCACATATTCTCCTTTCCACTAGGCGAGCCTGAAGATGAAGTGATGACACTTCGAAACCGGTCGCACTCAATGTTTTGTTAAATAATTAAACATTGACTTTCCTTGTGAGATATAAAGGACTTTTTCTCCCCCTTCACCTTAAAATTACCTCAACTCACACATGGCTACCCCCCTTGTCAATCTTGAGTTATCGTAGTAGATTCAAAATTTATTTTTAAATAATTATTAACTGATGAACAATACAAAACAAACATCAATATTTACTAAATTTTTAATTACAATTTAAAAGAATCACATGTATGTCTTTCTAACCCATGACTAGTCATACTTTTGATTTATTTATTTATTAATAAACCTTTAAAATTATTTATTTTTTGTTTTCGTTAACTTCTTCTCAATACGCTTGTTCTTATTGTTGCTGTTGTTGTTCCCAGTTTAGTTGTTGATCTTCTTGTTCTTGTCCTTGTAAGTGTTTTTGTTGTTGAGCATCTTGCCCCAATTTGTCTGACGAATGGTATGTTTGAGATGAATACACCCTTTCACCGTCAGGTTGATATATTACTTGTTCAACAGTATGTTTGCGTTGATAAGGAACTAAGAAATGTCTGCTAACAACATTATGGGAAGTAGTACGAAGTTGTTGGAGCTGCCGTTGATGATTAGTACTAGGAGCATGAATCCCACGAACTTCCCAATGTTCATTAACAGGTTCTTCCCTGATTATTTTTTCAAAATAAACTTTATGCTGAGGATGTACATTCAATAAAGAAGGACCATCATCTTCAGAAATTTCATGATTTTTCACATTGTTAAATAAATTCACATGGACACCATTTACAGAAAATCTTGGATCATCCACTTCAACGACTCTATTATTTTGAGATCTAACAACTTTGGTATATAGCTGTGGTTGTCCAGAAATAATACGAACGGAAGTTTCTCTGGACGTAATATCATTTGGTCTGTTAATTACGTAGACACTAGAATCTCTATCTTTAGAAACGCTAGTAGTATCTAATTTATCGTTATCTTCTTCTTCTATAACCTCATTAACGTTTATTGTACTATCTCCTTTAGGACTAAGATTCACGGTTAAATCTCTATTATAAGAAGTACCTTCTTGTAATCTGGAGGACATATCAGTAAACTCTTTATTTAACTGTACGCTACTGGAATCATTTTGTGACAACTGAGGAACTTTAACGAGAGCATCTCTATCTCTAGAAGTAGCTACAAGAGGTACAGTAGGAAGGTTTGCCAACCGATCTCTGGTTATTACATCTTTTAGTAGTCGTGGTTCTCCAAGATGAATTCTGGCAGTAGCATCTCTGTCCCTGGAAGTAGCTAACAGTGGCACAGAAGGAAGTTCGACAACCTCTTCGTTTGAAACTACATTCCTGGGAATATCATCAAGTAGTCGTTGTTCAAGAGGAATTCTGATGGTAGCATCTCTGTCCCTGGAAGTGGCTACAAGTGGCATAGATGAAAGTTTTACAACCTTTTCGTTTGAAACTACGTTCCAGGGAATATCATTTAGTAGTTGTTGTTGTTTAATAGAAATTCTGTCGATAGCATCACTGTCTCTGGAAGTAGCTACAACTTTTCCAACATCATCACCCTCCAACATATCGTTTTGAGGTCTAAATATCACGGATGCATCTCTATCATAAGAAGTACCTTCCTTTAGTCTGGAGGATATATCAGTAAACTCTTTATATAACTGATCGCTACTTGAATCACCTTGTGAAACATGAAGAATTTTATCTAAAGCATCTCTAGAAGTAGCTGAAAGAGGTACAGAAGTAAGGTTGGCCATCCGCTCTCTGGAGATTACGTCTTTAAGTAGTCGTGGTTCTCCAAGAGGAATTCTGACAGTAGCATTTCTGTCCCTGGAAGTAGCTACAAGTGGCGCAGAAGAAAGTTCGACGACCTCTTCGTTTGAAACTTCGTCCCTGAGGATATCATCTAGTGATTGTTGTTCAAGAGGAATTCCGATGGTACCATCTCTGTCCCTGGAAGTGGCTACAAATGGTACAGATGAAAGTTCGATTACCTTTTTGTTTGAAACTACGTTCCTGGGAATACCATGTAGTAGTTGATGTTCAATAGAAATTCTATTGGTAGCATCACTGTCTCTGGAAGTGGTTACAACTTCATCACCGTCTAACATTTTATCTTTTTGAGGTCTAAGAATCACGGTTGCATCTCTATCATATGAAGAACCTACCGCTAGTCTGGAAGACTTATCAGTAATCTCTTCACTTGAATGTACGCTACTTAAATCATCTTGTGGCAAACGAGGAATTTTTACGAGTTCATCTTTATCTCTAGAAGTAGCTACAAGATTGGCAGCTTGCTCTCTGTGGATCGAACTGGTTGCAAGTGGCACAGAATAAAGTTCACTAACTTCCTCATTTGAAATTACACTTTTGGGAATATCATCTAACAGTCGTTGTTCAAGAGGAATTCTGACGGTAGCATCTCTATCTCTGGAAGTGGCTACAAGTGGCACAGAAGAAAGATCGAAATCTTCCTTGTTTAAAACTACTTTTTCAGGAATTATATTAAGTCGATTTTCAGAAGGAATTCTAACAGTAGCATCTCTGTCCCTGGAAGTGGCTACAAGTGGCACAGAAGATAGATCAAAATCTTCCTCGTTTAAAACTACTTTTTCAGGAATCTCATCAAGTCGATTTTCAGAAGGAATTCTAACAGTAGCATCTCTGTCCCTGGAAGTGGCTACAAGTGGCATAGAAGAAATTTCGACACCCGCCTCTTTGGATACTATATTTTTAGGACTATCATTCAGTAGTTGCTTTTTAAGAGTAGCTCCGTGGGGCTCAGATGGAAAATTAACAATTTCCATATTCTTAGAATCTTTATTTTCTAATTCTGCGTTTCTGTTGATGATTTGCAGATTGTTTAATTTGTTATCTTTATGATGGTTAGTATTTACGGTTGCATCTGTATTATGAGAATATTCAGATGGTAAGTTAGATGAAAGATCGACAACATTCTCACTAAGTTGCTTAAAAGGTAGTCTAACGGTAGCATGTCTGTCTCTAGACATGTCTTGTAGTGGCTCAGTTTTATAATATTCGTTACGTGGAAAAAGAACACCATTAACGGAATCGACATTAATCATTTTATCCGTTGGTTGATGACCTGTTAGTACTTGTTGTTGATTCCATTGTTGCTGTTCTTTTTTCCAGTTTGGCTGTTGTTGTTTTATTTGTTGGTCTAGTTGCTCCTCTTGATGGTCTTTGTGCTGTTTATCTTGTTGTTGATCCCAACCTATATCTTGCTGCTGTTGTTCTTGGTCCCATTCCCATTTTAGTTGTTGCTCTTGTTGTTCTTGGTTCATTTCTTCTTTTGATTGCTTGTTTTGTTGTTGAGCCCATTCCCATTTTGTCTGCTGAGGTTCTTGTTCTTGACTCCATTTCTCCTTTGAATGCTGTTGATTCTCATTTTCCGATTGTTGTTGCAGTTCCCACTGTTGCCAATTTTGTTGTTGCTGCTGGGCTAAATTCAAAATTTTTTCGTTCCATATTCTACCGCGTATCCATTGTCCATCACGGTTGTAATATCTTCTAGTCATTAAGTCCCACCATCCTCCATCGTTGTCATAGAACCGTGATTTATTAGCATGTCTATACCTGATTAACATATTGGGATCCCAAGCTCTAGTACTAACCCATTGGCCTAAACGATTGTAGTATCTTTTAGTATTTAAGTCCCACCAACCTCCGTCTTGATCATACATTTTTGTTACATCAGAGGGTCTATAACGTAGTAAAATATTAGGATTCCAAGCTCTAGTACTAACCCATTGACCTAATCGATTGTAGTACCTTTTGTTGTTCACATCCCACCATCCACCATCTTGATCGTATATTTTTGTTACAGCAGATTGATTCTCACGAAATAAAATCGTAGGGTCCCAAATTCTGCTACTGATCCATTGGCCCAATTTATTGTAATATCTGCGTGTCGTTAGGTCCCACCATCCTCCATCGTTGTCATAGATTCTTGTCTTATCAGCGTTTTTAGAACGCATAAGGATTCTGGGATCCCAGATTCTACTACTTATCCATTGTCCTAAACGGTTGTAGTACCGTTTAGTGGTTAAATCCCACCACCCTCCATTAACGTCATAGATTTTCCCTTGGTATATATTGTACCGATTGGGATAATCATCTACGTGTTGATGCTGCAGTGCATTATCTTCATTCGCTCCATCAACGTAAATTTTTCCATTATCAAGGTATTTCCTGACTTGAACCGATTTAGAACCAATATATTGTCGTTGTAAGATGTACTGGCGGTTTTGAGAATCCCTGAATACTTCGTGATTGTGCTGGTCGATCTTATGTCCATCGAGAATATCTGCGTGAACTTTTGCTTTTTGTCCTAGGACATCGGCATCTGCGGAAGCATGTGCACCGATTCCTTTTCCTCCTATTCCAACTGCACCATCTATGCCAACTTCATTGCTCAGAACTTTAACACGTGCATCGACACCTACGTTGACTAAGTTGTCGATCCCAATTGCTTTAGCTGCTTTATGGAATATGCCATCATTACCCAAAAGGACACCGGCTTCGATCGTACCGACGAGGAGTAAGGACAACTGAAAAAATATTAAATATTAATTTTTGTTTTAGTGGATACGCTAATATTAATGCTTTTAATTTAGTTCAACTTATTTTTTATAAGGTTAGAAAGTATATAGATTATAAAGCTTCTTGAATTTCAATTCAATATGTACCTTCTAATAAACCATTATCAGATATCTTTACAAAAATTTTACCATATAATATTTTTAATAATTTTTTGAAAATACTTCATCTTTTATAATTACTATCTTACTTAGATTAGAACGAAGAAATCTTAGAGTTTATTATTTTATTATTTTTAGTATTTAATCTAAGTAGGTGGGTACGCTACATATAATAATCTAAGAGATGATATAGTATGTAGTTGTTTGGAGATTAAGTTGTATGAAGTTGTAAATAAATTATGAATTTTCAGTACAATAATTTTTATTTATTATTTATTTTTTATATAACAACAGGATTATCTATTAATAAATTTTTTTATGAAAATAAGAAAGAAAGAAAAAATAAAAAAAAAGACAATCCTAATTTAAATGAGCCGCCATAAATGCATTGCGCTTAATTTATTATTAATTATATTATTGGTAATATTTGCCAATTATTACATAATTGCTAGTACTCATTGTAAACACAGAAATAAGATTGCAAAGAAAGTAATAAGATGCAACAGAAAGTCTATGGACTATCAATTTCTTATTAGTAAATAAAGCAATATTATTACATCGGAATGAAAAACCAATGGCCATTTTGGATTAAAACTTTTTTTTATTTTAGTTTATTTAGTATTTTTAATTTTCAAATATTGTAACGTTGCCATCAAGGTTTATTTGTGTACACATAGCTAAAAATCAAGTCTCTGGGTTAATCTCGAAGGTGCACGAATTTGGGTTAAGAAGGTTTAGATGTATGATGCATTATTCTGTTTCAAGAGGAAGCTATTTGTGACTATTTAAGTAGATTCAAAGCAAACTGAAGGTCCTTTTTTATTCTATAAAAGTAATTTTAAAAAAGAATCATTGAAATCGGACAATGTGTTAAAGAGTTATCGCTGAACATACATAAAAAAAGATATATCGACGAATTGAGAACCTCCTCCTTTTTTGAAGTCAGTTAACTATGGAGGAAAACAAATGAAGGGTAAGGGGAAAAACACATGCTTGTAAGAGATTAAAACAAACGAGGTCCGAATAATAAGACATTTAAAATAAATCAGAATGGTTAAAATCGGACGTTGTCCGTGCATTACTGAAATAAAAAACTGATGTAGTCCAGGCTAAATACAACAATTTGCAAGTACTAAAACAATCTTGTTACTCAAATACTAACAAATTTAATAAAAAATTGTCATACAGGTGAAAAACTCTTTATTTTAAAAAGTATATCATTCCTTTTTAACAAGTTATTTGTCACGTTTATTTTTTTTTAAACCTGAATATAAAAATCTTCCGTTTAAATGCTTTTATAACAAGTTAACTATAATAAATTACGTTAAAAATATTTACGTACAGTTTTATTTATTTCTATGACTGTAACATAAGATTTGTTAATAATATTAAGTATAAACTCAATTTTCTCAATAAGTCAGTTTTGTGAGATCGGCTGTTTTTTCCCCTTACCCTTCAAGTAATTTTAAAAAACTGACTTTAAAATCGTGCGGATGTCATCACCAGATTTTGAGACCACTCCTAAGGTACAGCCTTACTACCAAAAGAAGAATCATAGATAAAAATAAATGAAGAGTTTGAGGATTTTTTCATGGACCCAATTATTACCCTAGTAGAACCGAATGTTGGCTATATATCGGCGCAACATCGCCCCAATATTGGAATATTGGCGCAATATTGCAGCAAGATTTCAATATTTAGCCAATATTGGCCTTAGATTGATTCTCGATATTCCGCCAATATTGGGTTGTAAATGTTGGCCGGACATTGGCGTAATATTGACCAATATTGACAATATATGACCAATATTGGATATACATAGGCTTTAAATTTTTTTGCAATATTGCCTTTGCATTGGGAATCAATATTGGTCGAATATTGGCTAAATATTGGTTAAGCAAAATGTTGTTGAACCAACGAACTTCCAATATTGCGCCTTTATTGCGATCAATATAGCCCCAATATTGTGACACAATATTATGTATAGATTGGCAAGCCAATGTTTGGCCAATATAACTTAAGAATATTTTTACCAATATTGGAGGTTTTGTTGTAAATGTTGGCCAGACATTGACACAATATTGACCAATATTGACAATATATGACCAATATTGGATATACATAGGCTTTAGATTTTTTGCAATATTGCCTTTGCATTGGGAATCAATATTGATGGAATATTGGCTAAATATTGGTTAAGCAAAATGTTGATGAACCAACGAACTTCCAATATTATTGCGATCAATATTGCCCCAATATTGTGACACAATATTACGTATAGATTGGCAAGCCAATGTTTGGCCAATATAACTTAAGAATATTTTTACCAATATTGGAGGTTTTCTTGTAAATGTTGGCCAGACATTGACGCAATATTGACCAATATTGAGAATATATGACCAATATTGGATATACCTAGGCTTTAGATTTTTTTGCAATATTGCCTTTGCATTGGAAATCAATATTGGTCAAATATTGGGTAAATGTTGGTTAAACAAAATGTTGATGAACCAACGAACTTCCAATATTATTGCGATAAATATAGCCCCAATATTGTGACACAATATTATGTATAGATTGGCAAGCCAATGTTTGGCCAATATAACTTAAGAATAATTTTACCAATATTGGAGGTTTTGTTGTAAATGTTGGCCTGACATTGACACAATATTGACCAATATTGAGATTATATGACCAATATTGGATATATATAGGCTTTAGATTTTTTTGCAATCTTGCCTTTGCATTGGGAATCAATATTGATCGAATATTGGCTAAATATTGGTTAAGCAAAATGTTGATGAACCAACGAACTTCCAATATTATTGCGATCAATATAGCCCCAATATTGTGACACAATATTATGTATAGATTAGCAAGCCAATGTTTGGCCAATATAACTTAAGAATATTTTTACCAATATTGGAGGTTTTGTTGTAAATGTTGGCCAGATATTGACGCAATATTGACCAATATTGAGAATATATGACCAATATTGGATATACCTAGGCTTTAGATTTTTTTGCAATATTGCCTTTGCATTGGAAATCAATATTGGTCAAATATTGGGTAAATGTTGGTTAAACAAAATGTTGATGAACCAACGAACTTCCAATATTATTGCGATAAATATAGCCCCAATATTGTGACACAATATTATGTATAGATTGGCGAGCCAATGTTTGGCCAATATAACTTTAGAATATTTTTACCAATATTGGAGGTTTTGTTGTAAATGTTGGCCAGACATTGACGCAATATTGAGCAATATTGAGAATATATGACCAATATTGGATATACATAGGCTTTAGATTTTTTTGCAATACACCGCACCGCGCAGCTGCAGCCGACTACCGCGCATTCACGTTCGCTGTTCGCTGGCATCCATTTATTTCAGTTTATTTGTTGATGTTCAACTCAACGACTCAACGTTTCATTACTTTCTTTTGTGTTTTTGGTTTTTAGTAGCATTTTCAGATTCAGTAAATTGCATTTTAGTTTTGGTGGTACACTAATAATAAACATAAGTGTTTGGATTGTGTTGTGAAAATGAATACGTCTGGGAAACGGTAAGTACACAGATTTTATTTACATACAGAGTGTATAGAGAGAGACGCCATCCGCCATTTTGCAATAATAGTCGTTAGAGCATTATGTAGGACTTATTTGACAAAAATCTTATATGAATATGTTCTTGACCCAATGTACACGGTGTTATATTATATATTATTAAAAATATTGCTTTGATAAATTAAATTAAAGTACTTAGATGGTGCCATTTAGATCTACGCCGAAACCATGCAAAAACTTCAACGTAATCTCTCATGTCTGATTATGAGGGTTATTTGAATTATTTGATAAAAGATTTTTGTCTAACATCGGCCTTGGGTACATTCTTACAGACTTAATCATATAGGTATGCTTTAATAAAATACGTGTTTTGTACCTAAAATAACATACAGTAAACACGAAAATAAAAAAAAATTCTGACATCCCTATTTTTGGATTTAAATAAGACGTTTGCTGAAAACGATGTGTAGGATAAAACATTTGGTAGGATTAGTAAAGATTTGAATTTGTATAATACATAGGTAGGTAGCTTAGCCCTAGAAAGAATTTCAATTTTAAACATCTTACCTATTATCTCGATGATTCAATCAAATACTGCCACAACTAAAATAGTATTGTTTCGAGAAATTTAATTTTAAAGTTTTGTAAGTTTCTGTTATGAATATTTTGTTTTTGACATAAAATCTTTATTTAAAAGCTACGACATTTTCCTATTAAAATTAACGATTACGATTATAAAAGCACCCTAACTCGAGTTATCGCATAGTTTGTAAAAAAATTGCCATAGTTTGTAAAAAAATTGGGTGTTTTTGCAGAAAATAACTAGAATTGGGGCAGTTTTAGCTAGATTTTAAATGATAAGGATATTTTTGTTTGTTGCGATATTTAAAATAAAAACTTAATGATATTTTGCATCCAGTAAAACAAAAATGTAATTTTCTTTGTTTTTTGACTTGTGGCGGTTTTTGATTGAGCCGTCGATCTGTTTAGTTATATAGACCCCTTTTGTGATAGGGCAATGGAGTCAGCTCATCAGGAATTATCTAAAAATGTAATTAAAAGCGGGTGTGTTTTGAGGTCATTACGTTAAGGTAGTTCACCCTTTATATATATAAATTGTTATTTAAAAAATCAATGATTAAAATACGCCTATTGCTTTTATGTGTTGCTTTACTACTTAAAAATACAAATTCTTATATACTACATCAATTTGTTTTATCAGTAAAAGTGGTAATTCAATAAATTTGCACAGATTTATGTTTTGAAGCCTGTTAAAAGTAAAATAAAAATCCAATAGATTTTTAAAAAGCTTCACTATATTTCGCTCTGACGATGCTTAGCTGAGTCTAAGTGAAACCGGTTAGCCTGAGTATTGCGAAATATAGTGAAGCTTTTTAAAAACTATTGGATTTTTATTTTACTTTTAAATTTGC